CTTTGAGTCAAGCCGTTGGAGTCCATGGAATCTCTTTCTTTTTCACCCTGACTGTTTGGCACTTTGTTTTAGGCATTTTTACCGGTAATTTGGGAATTAGTTTTAACCATTTTTTTCGTATTTTACTGTACAACTTGCTTAACTGTGGGCGTGGCAGCGTTGACAACCGCCTGACAATGACTTCATTTGTTCATATGGCAAAAGAAAAAGCAACAAATTATCTTGCAGTTTAATATTGCACACATATGGCCAGGCGTTGAGTACCATATGATGATGGATCGGCATGGATTGAGCTGTACTTGTTCAGCTCTGATGATTCCTGTTCCAAGCACTCCACATAAGTCATGTGTCTTTGTCTGTGCCACAATGTGTTGAATGTGCAATTGCAAGCGATTTAGCAGCAGAAATTCTAGAATTTATAGTTAAGATCTTGGTAATCTCTTAATGAGTTGCCATGAGCTGATTCTGGGTATGTCTACCCTGCTGCCTGTTAAATTATTATAAAGATCTCAAATAGATAGGTCTACATATGAGAGAATGACAAGGTAAGTGGAGCCTAGTTCTCAAATCTCAAATAAATAATATTAATTTTCGAAATTAACAAAGTAAAGATCTTAACTGGAAATATGTTTTGGAAATTCTGATGCATTCTTGCTAATTCCAACAGTTTTTTTTTTTCCAAAATGTAGACTAATCTCAGTTGAAATGTGATTAAGCTGGAAAATTATCTAAGGTTGAATAAGGAATGGTATCTGAAATTCCGAAGAATTATAAAATCTATAAGAATCTATTAAATTATAATATTATAACTAATATTTACTGAATATTTCGTATCATCTATTCCCTTATAATAAAATGATTGACAACATTTAAATGATATACAAAAATTTTAAAAAAGTGATCTGTTCAAGTTTTAAATGTCTACAACTGCCCTTCACATTTTGTCGTCTACTAACATCTCCTTACCCCATCCTGCGCAAATCGAGACCAAGTGAAAGCATTAAAAGATTGACATGGACCATTTGTGATCTTCAAGTTGGCAGAGAACGCGCGCAAAGTTTCCATCCCACGGTACAGAAAAGAAAATGCACCCATGTCACATAAATAAAATTTGTATATGCGATTAAATTTGAAATTCAATCGTAATGCATTTGCAGACAACGGCCCAACTGTGCTCGGCGCTCTGTTGGGTTGTCAGTCAGTCGTCTGTCGGTCTGTCTTGGCTCGGACGAGTTGTCTGTCTTCTGGCTAGGTCGAACGGGGATTGCATCCCTCGAATCCTGCCAGAAAGCAACATTGAAGGAGGTGGGGGGGTACAACAGCTTGGGCTGTGATAGACAAAATCTTGTCATAACTTTGATGTTGTTAGTAAAACAATGCAATTGCTTTGCCGAATGGGCCCCTCAAGGTAAGCGACCCAGCCCGTCTGGGAATGGGAAAGGGCATGGATATGCTGCAAAATTCGCTTACTTGCCCTAAGGGATGCAAAACTTTGCCAGCTGGGCGAACCCAAAATATCTCTGGGATTATGCAACATCAGCCACACCCGATGCCCATCTAATGTGCTGTGTAATTCCTTAAGACATTGAGAAATTGCTGGACCAGGATCAACTTAAGTGCACTCCGTCTGTGGTTTAGCTTGGCCAGCTGATTTGTCTGATTTCAGCGCTTAAATTGCGTTGTTTTGTTCAACAAATAGATGGCTTGCTGTCAAGTCCGAGTTCTAAGAAACAAACTGCGCGTTAGATAAGATGCGAAGCAGACTCAACTGAAAGACTCAAGCTTGAAGAACAGGCAGATACCCTGTAACCTGATTCTCTTCCATTTCCCAAGGTTTTCGCCAAGTTCTAAAAAGTGTTCCTATATAACTTCTGAGTTTGTCGAACGATTGTTGTGATATTTTCAGAACTAATAGTTTCTTCCTCTTGCATTGATTTTAAATGTTAGAGCAGTTTTTTCTATGACAACATACCTATTAAATATTATATAACTAGCTTAAACAGGGCTTTAAGTCTTGGTATTACGAAACGATAAATAATTTTGATCTGTGCGTGCTATGGGAGAATCTCCAATCAAAATTATATTCTGAAAGCTCCTTCTAGTCTCTAAGTTCGACTTATTTAGAAGAAAGGGGGACTATAGTTGTGGACCTATACAGTCAGCGTCTAGTCAAGAATAAATGAGCTGGGTAATATTGCCTGACTGCCCAACTTAAGCATACCCCCTTTTAACCACTTTGAGAGCGTACAGGGTATACTGACGATTAAGATCAAGGCGAACAAATCATCTCCAGAGATGCATGAATGAAATGCCCCGCCACGGACATAGTGCCATGCCCATTGTCCCGGATCTGGTCAGGCAAATAGCAGAGAAATTTATAACAAAAGGGTTGCGCCGGCTCGCTGCGTATGTGTTGAAAGGCTGCGCGAATGTAACGCGATAAGATCGGCACATCAATCCAAAGAAATGCTATCCTTAAGAATGTTAATCAATTAATTACATGCTGTGTACACAGTCCGCAGTACAAAGGGCACAGGGAAAGGATTCCGCGGCAGGGTTGTGCCCTCTGATTAATTTCAACATATCCCCCCCCCCCCCAGGCTATAGATTGGCTGCAGGCCAATATTGTGGTCTGCAGCAGACGCTAGCACAGCTCCCGAGAGGGAGGAACTCGGAGCATTACTAAAAATTAACTGACCAGTGGTCAGTTCGTGGGTCAGTCGCGTGGCCGTTATTAATCTAAACATAAACATTGACCACGCGAGGATACACAAAGCGGCGCAAAGGGGTTCACATCAAAGAAGCCTCAAGGATATCAAGGCAAGCTGACAGAAGTCATTGATCACATCACAAGCAAAAACATATTAGACTTGGGCTTAATTTGTAAACAAGTTTTTTGAGAAATTATCATATTCTCTTGCACCCTCATATTATTTTAAATATTATTCATAGTTGGAATCAAATTGGAAAATAATTAGTTCACATTTTTAAAGCAATATTTTAAATTTTTCAGGAAAATAGAGTACTTAAAAAAAAAGTACTTTTAAGACAATTTTCTGTAGAGTTCAGAACTGAAGAAACTGAACAGAGAAAATGGATCAAAATTATTTTAACTATAAATATATAAATATATTTAAGTATCGACCTCACAGGGCCTATATATTATAATAATATCTATCCTTTTCGCTGTCTATTTTTGTATGATTCAGTTCTCGACCGAACACAAGGTTTTATTACAAGGTTTTCTGAAAAGCTATTTTAAGAAGTGTTATAAAGGGAACAAGGTCTCGATCACAGAGTCACAAGCCTCACAGACACTTGAGAGAAGACATGCGAAAAAAAAAAGGAAGAAAAATAAAAAATAAATTGCCTGCTGTGTGGGAACCAAAATGCTGTGCAACATGTGACAATAAAGATTTTGCACTGCCTGCCCGGAACCGACCAAAAATTAATGCCAAAGATTGTTTCAATGTCGGCACTTGTTTTGCAGCACATTGTGACCCAAATTGAAAGCAAAAAAAAAAAATAAACAACAAAACACAATACAACAGTTAGACACATGCCCAACGAGTGGCAACGAGTGCCTGCCACAAGGCGAATTGTCCTGCGAAGAATTGGCAAGAAGCACTTGAGCCAGAACAATGCGAGAAAACCCGCTGCCACTATTCTAATTATATAGAAAATTGCAAGCAAAACATCAACTAATTGTTGATCGATATTCAATACCAAAACTAAGCAAACCCTGGGGGGTGAAGCTAGCTGAGACTGTGGGAAACTCAAGTGGCACACAATGTGGCAGACACAATGTGGCAGACAGATGAGCCGACGGTTGCCTTATCGCCAATATTGCCGCCTGGTCTATGCCCAGTCTATGCCCCACTGACCTCGACAAATGTGTCACTAATATATATTGCCCACCATATCATAATTGGAATCGAAATGCGCGCGAAATATGCGCGACATACAAAATAAAAAAAATTTGAAAACAATTAAGAACCGAAGAATAAATACTCTAAATATTATATGAAGAGCTAAGAGCAACTATCTGAAATATAATAAAGAAAAGTTGTTCTTAGAATAACTCAATTAGTGAGCTATTGCTCCTATTAGAGCTATATCACATAGAGGTTCCATGTTTAAAAGGTTTTCTGCATATTTTGTATGTTTATCATAGAATACAATCAGCTTTCTTAATAAGAACTAGAAATAGAACTTACTTGATATAGTCTAGTATATAGTATTATAATCCAATTTAGTTACTATTGGAAACGAGAAAAACGCAAGTTGTTTAAGTTGGCTCAAGATATCGTAATAGATACAAATTTTATTTTCTGCAAGATCATAAAGTTTTACGGAATCTTTCTATATCAATTATATGAATATATAAAGCGATCTAATATAAATACTTGCAATTGGAAAGTTTGATTAAGATAAATTTTGAACTCTATCGAAACCTTTCGCTAGGCTGAACTGATAACCTCTGATATAATGCTTTATAGACTTCGCTTTCTATATATTTATTAACAAGCGTTACAAACAATCTGAGCAACTCTTGGAAAGGGCATAAAAAATATATTTAAAAAAATATCTAAGCATGTCAAGAACATTGTTCGCTCATTAAACAACAGCAACAACAACAACAACAACAACAGCAGCAACAATAACAACAACAAAAACAACCTACTTCCAGAGTAAAACCTCGCCCCCACCCTGTCCAGCCCCCTATCATCCAGGGCTCAAGTTGTTGTTGCCTATTTGCCCACATACGACAATACCAACTTTTGTTTGGGCTGCTGAGCCGGGCAATGTTGATTAGTACTTCCTGAGGCAGCCTCATATCATTGCACGCATACACAAATACTTATGTAAACCTCTTATATATAGACCACTGATATATATATATATATATATATAAGTATATACACACAAGACTATGCCTATTTGCTTAGAGCTGTGCAAACAATGCAATAAATGTCGCTTGGCTCTTGGCGAAGCTTGACGCGCTCAGCTTATCAGTTGACCGTTAGAAGTTATCATAACAATGCCAGGCACCATCAGGTTAGCAGCGGTAAGTGGAGCATTACAGCTCTTGGGGGCCCTGCATATGCAAATACACGAGCAGACATAGCTACAATTTCAGGTGTTATTCCCGGAAATGTAGAACGATATCTGGCAAAAGCTGGAACTATGACGACAACTAACTAACTAACGCATAGAGTTAAGATCTGTTTTCAAGACTGCATTACAGAAGCGTTTCCAGTGATTCGCCTCGAAAAAAATCGAAAAATATCCATAGAGAATTACAAAGGCTTGCAAAAATATGCAAGAGAATAGTCGTAAGTAGAGACTGCTTTTGTCTGAAAAATCTTTTTGATATTCAAGACAACCAAAATTTGCTAATAGCGAGCTTCTTTCACAGAAAATTGGAAATCTTTACCCATAGGAACAATCGACTGAAACATAAGTTGTATAATTGAGATTTTTTTAATCTAGAAGAGTATTTATTAGTTCACATTACGAAAAAAAAAAAACCATTTATCCCAACATTAACCAAACCTCACAAGATTTTTCTTAATGAAATCTATAAAAATCCCATCCAACTCGACCCCGATGAAATTTGCAGGGCTTGTAACGTCACAACTTCTGGATGCAGAATATACATGTATGTACATACATATGTATGCATGTATGTATCCACAATGTTTAAATACATACATACATTACATATATATGAATTGCTTGGCTTGGGCTGCGCATCTTCGTTAGCGGCACATTTAAACTCTGAACCCGGCAATTGATTGCCACAGAGAAAGCTTCATTTGGTGAATGTAAATGTGAATGTGATTGTGAATGTGGTGAGTGTTTCGTGAATGTGATGTGTGAGTGTGAGTGTTTTGTGAATGGATGCGTTCTCTAACATCGAAATGAATTGCTTATTTTGACATTTATTAAAGCTTTAAATAAAATTTATGCAGAGAATCAATTAGTGTGTGCGAGGAAATGGAGCTGCTGCTGGCGTCGGCGGCGTGAGGGGGGCAGGAGGACAGCGCGAATTGTGACTGTGGGATCGGGTGGCCGCCAATGGACGGAGAATAGGAGGATAGGAGGACAGGAGGACAGAGGACAGACAGAAGGAGCACGCACAGCAAAAAGTCAAGTAACGAAAAATATTTCTCACAATCAGCTTGTAGACAAGGCGAACAAGGAGCTAAAGAATACGGTGCAAGGCGGCGAAGGAAACATAAAATAGCAACAACAAAACGCGGCGGAGGCAAAAAGACAAACGTCGAACGGCAACAAAAACAACAACAGCAACAACAACAACATTGCACATAATCAGAGGAGCGACAAAGACTGCAAGAAATCACAGCAGCGACTGCAGCAGAGCTCAAAGATAAACAGGCTCGCAGACGGCCACACAAAATGCACATGTATTAACATGCATATGCACATAATCATACATACACACATACATACATACAAACATATGTATAGATCGCGCCACTCGCTGCAGCAGAGTTGCCATCTTAGCTGACATGTGGCTATTTCTAGCTTTTTAAAAGCGAACTAGCTGAGGAATTCTGGAAAATGTTGTACAAGAAAGGATCGCTACAACCTTTGGGTTTTTTTTATTTTCATTTTTTTCATTTAATGTTACATTTTTTTTGTTTATAGAAACTATTAAGCCCATTAGAAACTTGTGTTAACAAAAATTAATAAAACATAGAAAATATATTATGTACATTTGAAAAGTACATCCTAAAAGTTGCAAATGAGAATTTAATAGAAACCTGTCCAAAATGTATTAATGTAACTATATACAAATTTGGACCACCTATTGTAGAAATAATTTAATTTATTCCAACCATTTAGCCGTTTGCGCCTTTTAATATTGTGGCAACACTGTCAAGTAGACGAATCCTGCACACAATCTCACACTGCGCTCACACTGACACACACATACAGCGAAGGCATATTTTGGCGCTAAAATCAAAACGCGTTTCCTCTTTGTGCACTTCTTCCGAGCGCTCGAGCGCTCTTCACCTACTTCTTCGCTCAGTCTGACCAATGCACATCGGCGAGTGCAAGAAATCTCAGCGCCCCCCCCTGCTTCGTCTTGCACACACACACACGCACACGCACACAAAGATTTGTTGTTGTTGGGCTCGTGTTAAGGAATTTTGCGCGCGCGTTGTGCTCGTTCCCCGTGCCTCTCCTCCTGCTCGTGTCACACACATACCACAGAACAGCAGGACTAATTCTCTGCTCTGCTGTGTGCATGTCCTTCGGGCTACGCACGATCAGCTGATTGAACATATGTAGGTACCCTGTAGTATAGCAGGCAGAGGCCCGCAAGGAACAGGATTGTGTATAGGAACTGAAACGGGACCGAGGGTCATTCCCCGCGCACCTATCCTTTTCTAACTGTTTGTCCATGTATACATGCATGTATGTGTGTGTGGGCATACATTCTGATCAGCATTTGTCTATGTTACGCTGCTTCTTATGTACATTCTTCCATTTCCCCTACAATTCGGGGCGCTCGATCACATGGTCGCGATCCGGCCCAAATTCCGTACAAAGTTCAAATACCTTCAATGCCAACTGCCTGTCAACACCTTTGTCAATCTCCAATTCAAATTTGCCAAAGCTTTTGGCTGCCATTGCAGACTGCTTGCACACATACAGTAAAAGCTCTTGTTAAGCGAAAGAATTACATATGTACATGCATTACAACTGGACTTTTAAAGTAAAGGGGCAACAGTGTATAGAAAAGTATATAAACATGAAGATTAATAAGAAAAAATAAATAACTATGCTTAAAACTTTGGAATGTTCTTCCTTTGAACGTGGGTGTTCGCTCAAGAGAGCTTTCACTGTACAAGAGGGCTTACGCTGTAATTTATGTGCACGCATACACACGTACATAGTACATACATACATATGTACATACATGCAGATAATATGCAAATGGATTAAATGCTCATAACTTACCTATTGCACACTAATTGCACGTCTTTGCCTCCCCGTGGACTCCATGCGATTCCTTTTGTATGCACAAGCCCTAAACGCTGCACACACACGCACACACTCGCGTACACACAATTTCGACCCGCCACGCCCCTCGCACTGGTTTGGCTTTCGCGCGCGCGCGTAAAAGTATCTCAAACGCTTTTTTGCACACTTTTTTTTCTTCTTTTTTTTTTTTTTTGAATGTCGCCGTCGACATCAGGCGCTTAAAAAATACAAAACCGACCAAATCTCAGACCTCACTTCTTGGAATTTCGATTTACAATTTAGTTCTTCACGTTGTTCATTCCACTTCTCGTTTTTTTTTTTTTTTGGGAGTTTATTTGCTGTTGCTGCTCCCGCTGCTATTGTTGTGCTCCATTCCCATTCACGTTGTTTCTGCAATTTCATAGTGTTCGCTGCTTGCATTAGTGTGTGCCGCCTATTCGATGCTCGCAATCAAATTCACTCGCTGCATTTGAGTGTGTGAGTGAGTTTTTTGCATACATTTTTGATTTCTGTTTGCCCTTTTTCCGTTCTGTCTTCATCTGTGTCGCCGCACCGTGGTGTGTGATCTATTGCATTTAAATGCTTATCGAAAGCGAGCAAACCAATTGGAAGCGATGATATATGACCTTTAGCTTAAACGGGCATACAATTACATGCACATTTTTAATTTGTTCATAAGCATCTACTTACATATTTGAGATATATTACGATGGTAGCCAAACTATTTGCGCAATAAACACGCATGTTCAGCCCACTGTGTCGCACTATGAATGAGTTTGAGCTTTTTTTTTTCTGTGCCGCATGTTTTTTAACTTGTTCAAAACCACTTTATGATTTCTGCGTCCTTTTAGTTTGTTGTTTATTCTTTCAAAAAGATGATCCTCTTCCTGCAGCAGCACAAAAGCAATTCAAGAGAATGAAACCGTAGCTCATTTAGCTTTGAGCGCATTTTGCAGCGGCTGGCAACGCCAGCTCAAATCATTTGCCTTGCCCATATGATTCGCATGATAGTTTTTATAAATGATGTCGCCGCATGGTCGCCGTCCAATTTAGTTGTTTCTTATGCTTGTTGTACATTGCGCTCTGCTGTGGATTTGCCTGCCGCGTAGGAATTCGCCAAGTCTTTACAAGCAGCACTATACCCATGGGTGCCCCCACCGTAGCCCCTCACATGCACGACGCGACTCCCGCAGGGCCTGCACACACACACTTCCATGCGCGCATATGTAACTCGATTTTTGCTTTAACTTTGCCGCAACTGCCCACACACACTCAAACGCACTAATACACACATGCATGTGGAACTCTGCTCATTTAACGACATTGGCGTCTACGTCTGCAAAACACAAAAGAGCCACGCCCCGCACCACCTCCCCCAAAGAGCACTGTGTCGATCATATGACTGGGACCTGGCACAACGACTACCTGCTGATGTACGCTTTGGGATCCAAGGGGGACAACTTGGGCGTGCAGGCGTCACGGAATGCGTGGATCTCACATTATTACCTGCGAACGACACAATCGATGCCGCTCAGTCGATGCCATCGTCGTCGTCGTCGTCTGCGTCTGCTTCTGCTTCTGAAATTCTGCTTAAAGATTTGCACGCAGGCTGTGGCAGCCGCTGGCTCCAGGCTCTGGTTCCAGCCATTCGATTGCAACGTAAATCACATGTGTTTTTTCTCGCTTCGGCCTCCACACGAACTGTCGCTCGGCCCCCAATCAGGGCCCACTCGGCTATCGGCTATTGGCGCTCAGCGTCGGCGACGACGCGCTTCGCGCTATAAAAGCTCGCGCGCCAAAATTTTCGCCTTCAATTGTGCTCCGGCCGCGCATCGGGTAGGGGAAATTGTTGAGCGCTACCTGTTGCACAGGCACTGGCCAGTGATCGTGGCTCGCTCCAACAGCACAGATTTTCCGACTACTTCTATCCTAGTTCGCCCTTTGATATTTGTTATTGGAATAGGGATATGGCAAATGGAAAACTGTTCAATACATATATGTATGTACATATGTATGTATGTAGCTGCTGCTCCCGCTCGTAACCTTCTAGTCTCGCTCCTGCTCTCACTGCTCTTTCAATTGCTGCTCCTGCTCCTGCCGTTATACGTGCTGCTGCTCGCACAAAAGAGCAGCGACGTCGACTGCGGCTTGCCGGCAGCGGGGGTTGCATACACGGCCGCCGCTCTTTAAAACCAGCTGCGCTCGGCTCGAGAACTACATTTGTTTTCTGTTCGTCGTCGTGTCAACATCTGCGCCTCGAGCTGCTCTCCCTCTCTCTGCCACTCGTACGGTAGTGCAGTAAATTTGTGTGTGTGTTTGTGTTAAAGCGATTGGGATATAACATTATTAATACAAAACGCAGCACACAAAGAACTCACAAAGTACGTGAAACTATAAACAAATGCAACAATGTTTAAACGGACACAATAATAATGCAAAACTCCAAAAAGAAAACAAAAATATGCAACAATAAATGCAATATTAGTTTTTAACAAATACGGTTCACAAATGCAACAACAACAAAAAACTCAACGAAGGACTACAAAGTGCAAAGCCGCAACTAACGAAAACGAAACGAACTAACAAACTAACTGTAAATGTGCCAGCAAAAGAAACGTGCGAAAATTGTGTTTTAGCAATTTTCAGAAGAAGCAACAACAATATTAAACGCTCAATATACACGCGTTGGAAAACTACAATCAAAATAGCTCATTTCACATATTTGGCAAATACATAAATAAATTCAATAATACAAAATGCTGTGGGAAACAATTGCCGAAGAGAACAACTGCACGATGGATTGCAATATCAGGTAATTATTGAAAAGCAAGGCGAAAACAAGAGCTAGCTAAAAGTAAATTAATTGGAGCATAAAACGCATAGGAAGATAGCATAGCTAATGTAATGAAATAAAAGTGCAAGTAAATTTCAACAACAAAAGCGTCGTGCTTGAACTTGAACAGCAACGACAAAAACAACAACAACAGCAACAGAGCGCTCACACACACACACACACACATACATACCAAAGCAAATTTGTGAACAACGGCACTGAGCAGAAGAAGCCGCCGCAAAGCGTTCGCTGCTGCGCTGTCGACTGCGCTGCTTGCTTTACAGTTGAACAAAAGTAAGAGTAAAATGTTTTTTCTCATTATTTTTTGCACGCTCCACACGAGCGAACGACACGTTTTTTCTTTTCTTTTTTTTTTTTTTTTTGGCTGTGGCGCTCAGCTGTTGTTATTGTTGCTTTTTCATTCATTAAACCGGCTTCCGCGAAGTTCGCACAGCTCCAAAGCAAAATGTTGTACTCTGTTCTGAAAGTGCAAATGGGTATATTTTTGGGGCTAATATATTATATTTCTCGAGCTGGGCAACAAATTCAGCAGGTGTCTAACCAATGTGTTAGTTCAAAGCCACTTGGGACACGCCCCCAAAAATTGACTTACAGTTTGACAGTCACTGTCTAGTGCTTACAGTTTTGAAGCACTTAGCTGACAGAGCATGGCGCAGTTGGTTGCAGCCGTTTGAAATGTTCTTACCCGTTGTTGCGTCTTCGCCTTCTGCTGCTGCTGCTACGCCGCTTGCGGTTCTGCCTTGCGTGACCCAAAAAAGTCGTCAGCAAAAGTGCAGATGCATTTGAGCGTAGCTCGAGCGGAACGCGTGCAAAAGGGAAATTCCGCTTAGAGTACCGCAAAAAGGCCCAACGGGAAGGCGGGGTACTTTTTAAGTTCTAATTCAAATTTCCT